GCAGGATACAAGATCAACATACAAAAAGCAGTTGGATTCCTCTACATCAACAAAGAGATCTCTGAAAAGGAAATAAGGAAAACAATACCATTTATATTAAAACCAAAAAAACAAACCTACTGCCATCAAGTTGTTCCAACTCATTGGGTTTCCAAGGTGGTAAATCTTTACAGAAATAGATTGCCCAGTCTTGCTTTTGTGGAGTGGCTGGTGAGTTTGAACCACCAACATTTTGGTTAGCAGGCAGACACCTTAGGCACTGTGCTACCAGAGCTCCTTACCATTTACAATAGCTACTAAAAAGATAAAATACTTAAGAATAAATCTTACCAGAGACACAAAATGTCTATACAAACTAAACTATAAAACTACAAAACAAAAACTCTTGTAGCTACAAGAAACCTGCATAAATGGAAGAACATCCCATGTTCATTGATCTGAAGACTGAATATTGTGAAAATGTCAGTATCGCACAAAGCCGTCTATATATTCGATGTAATCCCAATCCAGATTCCAACAGTATTTTTTAAGGACATGAAAAAACTAGTCACTAAATTTATATGGAAAGGAGAGAGACCTTGGATAAGCAAAACACTGCTGAAGAAGAAAAAGTAGGAGGTCTCACATTTCCCAATCTCAAAACCAACTACACAGCCATAGTAGTCAAAACAGTATGGTGTTAGTACAATGATAGACACATAGACCAGTGAAACATAGTCGGGATCCAGAAATAAATCCATCTACCTATGCATAGCTGATCTTCGACAAAGGGCTAAAATTCGTTATATAAGGGAGAGAGTCTCTTTAACAAATAGTGCTGGCAAAATTGGATATCCATTTGCAGAAAAATGAAACAAGATCCATACCTTACACCATACACAAAAACAAACTCAAGATGTATCAAAGACCCAAATGTAAAACCCAAAACCATAAAGTTCATCAAAGATAAAATAAAGGCAAACCTAGGGGCCCTAATTTATGGTATAAATAAGTTATACCATAAATTTCCTTCCCTGTGATCCAGCAATTCCACTACTAGTAATATATCCTAAAGAGGTGAGATCCAGGACATGAATAGACATATGCACATCCATGTTCACTGCAGCATGATTCACTGTAGCCAAGAGATGGAAACAACCTAAGTGCCCATCAGCATATGAATGGATAACCAGACTATGGTACATTCACACAATGGAATACTATTGCAACATTAAAGAATAATGAAGCAAATCACCTCATAACATAGATGAATTTGGAGCACATTATACTTAGTGAAGTAAGTCAGTCACAGAAGGACAAATATTTTATAAGTCTGTTATTATAAAAAGTCAAGGAAAAGTTTACACAGGGAAGGAAATTTACTTTGTTGGTTGTCAGAGATGGGAGGAAAGGGGAAGGAAAATTTCTGACCCTTATTTGGGTCATATGTTGATTTGGGTGAAGGGAAAAGCAATATAACAAAAGTGTGTAACCAGCACAAGAGAACAGTAGGACACAGAGGGGTGTACCAAAGGTATGGATGGCAAAGACAAATACTTTTACATACACAGTACTGCATTATCAGTAACAAAAAGCATCAGTCTATTGGTGGATGCATAGAGAAGTAAGATTATGTGTGGGTAGGTGAAAGCGAATATACCCATGACTGTAGATAGATTTGGCTGATGATAGTCCTACATGTGTATTGTTGCTAAAAAAATATCCATATACATTATAGAACTATCAGAGGACAAACTTGCAGTAGTTTCTCAGTGACAACCAAGCAATTTGAGCGAGGCACCAGGCCTCAGGACTATGATCTTGGGTGCAGAGGGGCATCAGTCAACCATGAGAGATCAGAAGGGTAGCATTTGCATAGGAGGAAAGCTGGACAGATGGGAATGCATAGATAAGAAGGACAGAGAGAGGGGATGGAGATGGGAAATAAGCTGCTTAAAGTTGGGATTGTAATTGGTGCCATGACAAAATGTGTAAGAACTGTTGAGAGTAAAATAAATATACTGTGTAAATGTGCATGCAAATCACAATAAAACTTTTTTTTTTTAATACCAATAGCATCATTAAAAATTCCTTCTTTATAGAGAATTTATGTTCATTCTGAAGTCAAGGATAAATTGAGTTCATTCATTTAACAAATATTAGTTTCTACTTTCATGAACTTAACAGCCTGATGGTAATATAAATAAATACACAGGCAATGACAATATTGAGTTCCAAGTGCTTGATGGAGAAGCAACAGACAAAGAAGAGTAGCAGAAAGGAGAGTGCTTGTCCAAGTCTTGGGAAATGAGAGGTTTTCAGAAGAACTAAGATCTCAAGCTGCATCCTGAAGGGTGAGAAAAAGCTAAATTAAAGTGTCTTGGGAATTCAATGTGCCAAGACTTGGGATGGAGAGTATGACCCCATGTCTGGAGAAATTACATGGCTAGTCCTAAGTGGTAAAGATGAAGCTGGAGAGTTAGGTGCAAGCCAGATCGTGAAGGATCTTATGCATCTTATAAAGAAGGTTGAATTTTATGGTAGGTGGCCATTGCATATACAATTTATGTTTAGCCTGCTTTGTCTTTTTTGTACCACAGCTATCACAATAACATGTTAGATATTATCATTCTGTTTGTCTCAAATAGATAGGGACTTGTAAAATAGATATGTATGCAGAAAAGATTAACATAGTAGCCTTCAATCCTTAGAAAGGATTGCTTGTGAGGCTGGCCCTTGGCTATCTTCTATAAACTTGACTGATAAACCCAAGGAGGGATCGCTAGGAGTCGATGGCAGTGCATTGCATTTTGTTGTTACACTAATATAAAACTTTCTCCAAGTGAAAATGGTATTTCACTCTACGTAGACTGTGTAAACAATATGATTTATCCTGAAGTCATTCTTTCCTTCTGGGAGTCTGAAATACTGGCATGTGCTATGCCATGGGTGCCTTTGTGACCAGTCTCAATAAAAATTTGGGGTGTTGAGTCTGTAATGGGCATCCCTGGTTGCTGCATTTTTGTAGGTAGAAGAGTGCACTCTATAACCCCTCATTAGAAAGATAAAGCTTAGGCAGCCTACAAATGAATTTCTCCAGAATCTTCCTTTTTCCTTTCTCCTTATAATGCACCTAATATCCTTACTGTATTATTGTAATCTGAGCAATAATTTCATGTATATGCTAAGTCCCGTGAGTCCTTCTACTAAATCTCTAAACATAGAGATGATCTATGTACATAGTGATTCCCAAAATATTATGCTATGAATATCTACCTATATTTATTGACTGAATAAAGTGAACTATCAAAAGATAATAATGGACTCCTTATTTTGTATCTTTCTCTTGTTTTTACAACCAAAATTTGTTTTACCGATTTGATCTCTCACCATATTTCTAAAATTTGCATCTGAATTCTTTTGACTCTTACCTTCAAAGTATAGAAATCCCTCATCACTATGGGGAGTCAGAACTAGGAGTCTCAATATCTAAAACCAAAAACCACTGCCATAGAGTCTATTCCTACTCATAGTGTCCCCCATTGTGTTTCCAAGGCTGTAAATCTTTACAAAAGTAGATTACTTCATCTTTGAAGCAATTTCAAATCAGGAGATCTGGAAATATTTTCAATAACAAAAGTCCTAAGAATATTTATAGAGTCCAAAGGTGACTTTTTTTTTTTTTTCATTTTTAATAAGTGAGGGTTTACTTGATTGTGGTGTGCTGAAAGCTGATCGCATTGCTGTAGCACTACACCTCAGTGCAGACAGCCCCTCATTGCTTTAAACATGCATTGGTATTTATGGGATAGTAGTCATGAACTAAATACTTTTATACGCTTTATGTTGGGAAAAATCTTCTCACGGCTTACTTTAAAAGAATTTTCTTTTAAACAAGTAAAAGAAATTTCAACTTCATTAGTAAGCTTCAGATTCGACCTTAAGAAATTTATAATGCACCAAGAAATCCTTGGATTTCTTACAGGCTTCATCTTCATTCGTATGAATTCTCTGGAGCTCTGTCCTTTTTTACTCAGTAACTGGCAGTGGTGTATCCCTGCTGAGGAGTCCCTCTTTGACAGGCCTTCTAATTCCTTTCTATCATCTTTGTCTCACTCTAAATTGTGATAGAATTATAAAACTTGTGGGTTCTCTGTTCCTTGCTCTCTAAAACTCTGGAGTCTTCTCTGAGACCCAGTCTTTAAAGAACACCACTTCTTGGGCTGGCTCACCCTGTTTTTGATCTTTATATCTTGTCTAATTGGAGAAGATTTTTAGTTCATAAGTGAATTTTAATAGAGAACATGCCTGGAGTTGTTGGTATACAGCAGCATAGTGATTTCCCGATGATAAGCAGTCTTAAAATGACAATTTTCTTCATAATCTATTTACATTGTTTCTGTTCTCATTTTATTGCCTTTTCATCCTCTATTTTTCTTTTTTCTCTTTTCTCTTTTACTTCACACCAGTCATCAGGATTCTCCCCTCAGCTGGCCATACTTATTTTAATACTTATCATACTTACAAAATAGAATTCTATATAGTTCTTGTTTATAATTTTAAACATAAATGAACTGCTTAAACTATATTTTTCTACTTAAAAAAACTTAATGACAATACATTTTTTTAAAAAATCCTAAATTCCTTTTTTATGTCTTGAGCAGGGGAATTGTTTTGTTTGATTTCATTTGATTTTGTCCTCTTTGGTCAAAACTTTCATTGTAACTAATGTTTTCTACTGCTGGTATAAATCTACTTAGAATGGTCAGTTGCCACCAAAAGTTCAGTCCTAATCAAAATGTAAGTTATTTGTGTAGACGTACTTAATGGAACATGTGAGTGTTGCATGATTTGCTGGTGTTTGTGATATCATTAGCCAAATAGATGTTAATTTTAGAAGAAAACTTTCTGAAGCTTCTAGTAGTTACCTTCATAACCTGAGAGTGTGATTTATGTCGTCTTCTCAAATAGCTGTTCTTGTTACTTCTTTACACCATGGCCTTTGAAATTTTCTATTCCAGTGTTCCAGAGAGATGTTCATTCAGAGCTTACACATCTGTTCTGTATTTTGACCCTCGGATGAGAATATTCATTCAGGCTGAAAGAGTTCAAACAAAACACCTTTGTCATTGCCTCTACAGACCCAGGTAACTCATCTTCTATCAATTCACATCATATATAAAATTGATATACCCCTCCAAAATTGTCAAGGTGAGGACATTGACTTTGATAATAAGATTTTTACATTTGGGAAAAAATTTCAAACTTCGTTCAAAAAGGCTAAAGAATATCCATGAGTGACAAATATCGGGCAGATAAAGGAACACACTGCAGTGAACACACTAAGTTAGGTAATTATCCAAAGTGGAAGTTTGTTTTACACTTCAGTGAATCCCAGATGCTTTGGTTGTGATAGGTTCCATTGAAATATCAGAGTTCACTTTTATCTTCTGTTTTCATAATATATTTGAACTATTTCCACATACAGTTGTCTCTCCATATCCAAAGTTCCACATTCAGGGGTTCAACCAATTGCAGATTGAAAATGTTTGGGATAGGGGGAAGCAATTAAGTGCTCAAAGCAATCCCTCAAAGTTTAAGAGGGAACGTAAAGTGATATTTATGTAGCATTTACATTGTATCAGAAGCTCTACTGGTGTAGTAAAGGGATCTGTTTCATACCTACCAGCTGTTCTGCAGAAGAAAGATAAGGCAGTCTGCCTGCATAAAGATTTACAGTGTTGGAAACCCAATAGGGGTCCCTACGAGTCAGAATTGACTCAATGGCAATAGGTTGGTTTTGGTTTGGGTACATTGAGTTAGTTATTATAAGTAATTGAGAGATGATTTAAAACATATGGGAGAATGTACATAGGTTATATGCAAGTACCATGACATATTATATAAGGGACTTGAGAATCCACACATATATATTTTGGTATCAGTGGGGGTCTTGGAACCAATCCCCTGCTATTGGATATTGAGGGATGACTGTACCTATATATGCATGCACATCACATGCTTCAAGTGAACATACCTATAAATGCACATCTAGTTCATTTCTATTTTATCTAATATTATAGTATAAACTTTTTTTTAAGTTTGTATTTGCATACTGTAAAATGTGCCTCATCCAACTGTGCATGCAATCAGAACAATCATTTGTTTTGTAGTTTCTGGATAATCATTCATTTTTTTACCAAACATTTATCAAAATTGTCTGTGAGTCTGAGATTGATAGGTACCAAACCTGAAAAAGAAAAGATTAGTTCTAGTTTTGAGTAACTTAATATCTACTGATATAAACTTTCAATATTTTACAGTGCCTTTATATGTGATTTTCCACATATTATATCATTTAATTTTTGCTATGACTCTGTAGTTAGGTCTTGTTATCACCATTTAAAACTAAAAACACTCATACCATTTAGACATACCAAAAAAACCAAACTCACTGCCATTGAGTTGATTCTGACTCATAGTGATCCCCTTTGGGTTTCTGAAGTGGCAAATCTTTATGGAAGTATATTGCCAGTTTTTCTTCCAATGGAGTGGCTGGCAGATTTGAACCCCCAACCTTCTGGTTAGTAGTCAAATACCTTAGGCACTACATCACCAGAGCTCCTTATTTAGACATAAGTGAGTGTCAAAAGTGGGCAAGAACTCAAATCTTCTGGTTCCAAATTATTTACCACTAAAAATTCAATGCCCTTTATCCTAAACCACCAAATCTTGATGATAGTCACTGTACATTTGTCATATTGTCTTCTTTTCATGAAAAAAGTAGATGCTGTCCTGGGATATGCTGTCCTGGGATCTGTAATCATTCATATAGAAATTAATATTAAAGCTTATAGTTAGCTGTGTCTTACACCTTGACTCTACCACTCGTCTGTCAGTTTATCATACTGTGGTGGCTTTCACATTGCTGTGAGGCTGGAGGCCATGCCACCAGTATTTCACACATAGGGTCACACATAGTGACAGGTTTCTGTGGAGCTTCCAGACTAAGACAGACTTGGAAGAAGGAAGGGACCATCCACTTCTCAAAGAATTGGCCAAAGAAAACCTTATGAATAGCAGTGAAACACTGTCTGATATATTACCGGAAAACTTTATGAATAGCCCTGAAACAGTGTCTTATATAGTGCTGGAAGATGGCACTCAGAAGGCACTCAAAATATAACTAGAAAAGAGCTCCCTCCTCAAAGTAAAGTCAACATTAATGATATAGATGAAGTAAAGCTTTCAGGACCTCCATTTGTTAATGGGGCACTACTCAAAATGGGAAGAAACATCTTCAAACATTCATTAATAATTGGAGTGTGGCATGTATGAAGCATGAATCCAGGAAAATTGGAAGGTGTCAAAAAAAAAAAAAAAAGAAATACATAAAGAACAATATCCTAGGCATTAATGAGATGAAACATACTGTTATTGCCCATTTTGGATCAGATGATCTATTATGCAAGAAATGACAAATTGAAGAAGAAGCATTCATCATCACAAAGAATATTTCAAGATCTATCCTACAGTATAATTCTGTCAATAATAGGATAATATAGATACACCTTCAAGGAAGACCAGTTATTATTACTGAAATTTGCACATCAACCAGTAATGCCAAAGATGAGGAAATTGAAGATTTTTTTAAAATAAACTTCTGCAGTCTAAAATTGACCAAACATGCAATCAAGATGTATTGATTATTACTGGTGACTGGAATGAGAAAGTAGGAAACAAAGAAGAATCACCAGTAGTTGGAAAATATGGCCTTGGTGATAGAAATGATGCTAGAGATCACATGATATAATTTTCAAGACCTATGATTTACTCATTGCAAATATCTTTTTTCAACAATATAAACGCTGGCTGTCCACTTGGACCTCACCAGATGGAACATGCAGGAATCAGATCAACTACATCCGTGGAAAGGTCTGATGGAGAAGCTCGGTATCTTTAGCCAAAGCAAGGTCAGGAGCTGACTGTGGAATAGACCATCAACTGCTCATATGCAAGTTCAAATTGAAGCTGAAAAAAATTAAAACCACTCCAAAATATGACCTTGATTATATCCCACTGGAATTTGGTGACCATCTGAAGAATAGATTTGATGCATTGAACAATGACAAAAACCAAACCAGTTGTGGGATGACAAAAGAAACTGAAAGGTTATTAAAAAGGCAAGAAAGGTAGAAAAGACCAGAATAGATGTTAGCAGAGACTCTAAAACTTTCTCTTTAACTGAGAGTAGCTAAAGCAGTGGAAGAAATGGCAAGATAAAGAGCTGAACAGACAATTTCAAAGAGTAGCTTGAGAAGACAGTCAGTTTTATAATGAAATGTGTAAAGACCTGAAATTAGGAAACAAAAGAGAAGAAAATGCTCTGCATTTCTTAAGCTAAAAGAACTGAAGAAAAAAATCAAGCTTTGGGTTGCAATATTGAAAGATTCTGTGGGCAAAATATTGAATGATGCAGGAAGCATCAAAAGAAGATGGAAGGAATGCAATGAGTCACTGTACAAAAAAGAAGTGGTCAATGTTCAAGTATTTCAGGAGGTGGCATATTATCACAAACCAATGGTACTGAAAAAAGAAGTTGAAGCTGCACTGAAGGAATTGGCGAAAAACAAGGCTCCAGGAATTAACCAAATACCTATTGAGTGTTTCAACAAATGGATGCTGCTCTAGAAGTACTTACTTATTGTTCTGGTTACCTAGTGCCACTCTGACAAGAATATACCACAAATGGGATGGCTTTAACAAACAAGAGTTAATTTTCTTACAGTTTGTAGGCTCTAAGTCCAACTTCAAAGTGCCAGGCTCTAGGAACTGGGTGAAAGCCCCTAAGCCTTGGGTTTCAGCTCTGCCTCCAGCTCCCGGCCCACTGAAGCTAGAAGCTTTTCTTCCTTATTTATCATACAGCTTTCATGTGCATATGAGGCTATTGAAAATACCATGGCTTGGGGAGGCGCACTTAGACTTCAAAGTGTTTGGGGTTAAGCCAATAGAAAATGTTGATTTTTGTCTATTTTTGGAGGGGAATTGTAGTAAATTGAATTCTCTCCACCTAAATTATTTATATCAAGCGATAGGTATTGCCCCTTCTCGTATATTTTTTTACTCACCTGTCAAAGTAATATTCATAAATATGTGTGGTTTTGTTGTTAGGTGCTGTCAAGAAGGTTCCAATTCATAGTAACCTTATGTACAATGGAAGGCAACACTGCCCTGTTCTGCCCCATCAATACAATCATTGCTATGTTTAAGCCCATTGTTGTAGTCATCTCATTGTGGGTCTTCTTCTTTTTCATTGACACTCTAGGTAACCAAGCATGATGTCCATGTCCTGATAAAATGTCCAAAGTGACATGAAATGTCACCATCCTCACTTGTAAGAAGCATTGTGGGTGTAATTCTTCCAAGAAAGATTTGTTCATTCTTCTGGCAGTCCACAATATATTTAATATTCTTCACCAACATCTTAATTCAGGCATTTGTTCTTCTTTGTCTCTTCTTTATTCAGTGTCTAGCTTCTCATGCATATCAGGCGAAGGAAAATACTATGGCTTCAGTCAGGTGCACCTTAGTCTTCAAGATAACATCTTTGTTTTTTAACACTTTAAAGAGATTTTTTTTCTTATCTTTTTTTTTTTTTTTCCATCATGAGTGTAGTCCCATTCATCTTCCTACCCCTTGTTAGGCTTGAATGTCTGTCTGTGCATCTGCTCCGAAATTACTGCTATTACTATTGCAGGATTGTATGTAATAATATTCACTGATAGTTGCCTTTAACTCTTGTGTTCCTCCCTGTCTCTTCCACTGCTTTGATCATTTTGTGCTGACCCCCATACCCTTATTATATATTGACTTTTCCTTCATTCAAATTAATACAATTGGTAACAGTCCTTCCTTTCCCCAACCATCCCTGGTAACCTTCAAAGAACCACTCTTTTTTTTTTTTTTTT